AACTCAAGTTATCATCCGAGCCGGCTTCCAGGTATTTTTCCTGATTGAGTTCTTGATATATATAAGTTAATGAGATTAATTTATTCGTGCATAAATTAATATAATCTATAGAGTATCTCAAAAGTTTTATGAAAATTTTTGTGTATCTTAATCTATTTTATTATATGAACTCTAAACTATCCAAATTTTTACTTAAGCTATTTTCATTTCTCTTGTAGATAACTCAACTTCATGTCCTACTACAACCATTGAGGAGCCTATGAGTGTGGATTGATAAAGATGGTTGATGTTGCAATGCTTGCTTTGGATGGATTTGAATTAAGATTTAAGCCTCTATGTTTGCTTTGCTTAAGCTATTTGTTTTATGTTAAGACTAATTTATAAGTGTAGAGTAATTTATGTTTGCTTTGTATTTGATGTTGGATGGACTATTTTGCTTCATGTTTGATGTTAGATGGACTAATAAAGATAGTTGCTATTTCTATTTAATGATGAAATTTGAATATTATATTGAACTTTAAGTCTTTGATTTTTTGAATGTTGAAACCGACCACCCAACCCACCCTGCACCGCCCCAACCCAACCCGAACATCGTTGGGTTGTGAAATTTTTCTAGCATCGTTGGGGCTAAATATGTGCAACCTGCACCCTTTGGGGCGGGGAAAAAAAAATCCTATCCCGCATCAACCCAATCCATGAACAGCCCTATGTAGGACCCTTCACCATTGAATCACTTTGGCTATAAAGAGGATTTACTTTGGCTAGTTTCAATCATGTACATTGGTTTAAATACTTCAAAGAAAATGGGTTTTGAAGCCCTATGATAACACTTTTTGACTTGGTTTTTTTTTTATAATTTTTTTTATTGAGATCATTATCAGAAAAAAAAATGATCTGAAATGTCGAGATATTAAATTATGTCTAAATTCTATATTTGGTGAAATGTGTTTCTTATAAGTATTCATAAAAAAGTCTTTTCAGTAACTAGTAAGCACATGGTTTTCTGTTCACCCATCTGCTTCTATTGTTGCCTTCCGAAGTACAGCAGTAGTTACCATGGCTTTACTCTTTTCCTCTGGCCTATTCAAGTACTAGCATTAGTGCATAAGTCCTCTCATACTGATATAAAAATCTTTCCTTCTTTTATTGTACGTTGTTTAAATGACACATTTTCTTTTGTGTAATAAATCTTTATTTTTTCTCCATGTGTGCGCACCAAAAAAAATGCATCCAAGTATATGGGCGTTTCATTTTAGTTTACTTCATTCATTGAATCTTTCTCTTTGTCAAAAAAAAAAAAAATTTTTTTTTTTTTTTTTTCTAAGAGGCCTGTCGTATATCCGAATGTAGTTCTTTTTATGTGATCCTCTTGTTTTTATCAGATGTCGTTGTTAATCTTGGATTCATGTCGTTCCCTGAAATCAATTATTTTATATGATTTATTTTATGAGATTCTTATCTTTAGATATGTTGTAATTTTTCCAATTCTTGGGTTTTTACATAACGTCATCCTTTTTCTGGGATGTCGTATCATAAAACGGTGTCATTTGATTGTTTATAGCGTCAATTTTGTTATCATTGCTTTATCCTTTTTAAGATATTGTCGTTTTATGAATAATTGTCGTTTTCGTAGTATGGAGCTATGCTCTTGTATTAAACTCTTATCGTTTTCTTTTTCAACTAAAAAAAAAAAGCTATTATCTATCCTGAAGGATATTTGTCTTTCGTTCTCATTTTGTGAATACCTCTGTAGCTATATAAAGGATATCCTACGTTTTCTGAGATGAGTCGTTTTTAAATTTGTTGTCGTTTTCTCTAGTTGTAAGCGAGATCATGTTCATTTTGCAGGTTTGATTTTAAAATGTCACTTCTACTATACTCTTTTTTAACTTTAAAAACATAGCTGGAATAAGGATTAGAATTATAGCTCATGTCTACATAGAACTGACAAGTAGTGATATCAAACAAGCAAAGGAATTGGCCAGAAAAGATGGTCTTTTCTTCCAAAAACGACAAGAGTGATTAGCTCAAGATTGGCGCTGTAATGTTTTAAGTAATTAGCATATATTTCTACCAGAAGCAACCATATATTTATGGTTAGTGTTATTGCCAATGATTTTGAATCCTTCAATGTTATTTAATTTCCAGTTTATAACATACATCATAGGTCATATTAGTAAAAGACAACAGAACTTAAGTTCATTTTTAGTAGAGAATATAAATCCTAAATTGTGAACTTAATTAAGTGAAATGTCTTCCCTTAATCTGGCTTCTTATTTTGATTTTCCAAAGTACTTGTCCTGCCACATTTCCACTTCTTCAATTGAGCTAGCCTTTCTCTGAATAAGTGAATATAAAGAAGAAGGACCATAAGGAGGTGGCATGGTGCATGGTCTACTATCTGCAGGACCCTTCACCATTGAATCCATCATGAACTTTTTCCCAAGTCCCTCTGTTGTGCAAGCCATGGACTCGGAACAGAATTCGACTGCTTTTTCAGGAATGCTAGGCTTAAATTTCAAGAGCTTGGCATATTCGTTTAAAAGATGAAACATGAAGTCATACACATACTCCATCTTCAACTCTTCCTGAATGAACCTACTCCCCGCCTTTCCAATGGATTTTGCCTGATGGCATCCATGAAAACAAAAAGGATAAGAAGACAAAATTTGGAAATTATATTTAGAACTTATCATTCAGGACGGCTTCTAGGATTCTTGTCTAAAATTCAAACCCCTTGTCCCTTGGAAGCTTTTGGAAGAGATTCAAATTGAAAGCTGGAAAACTTAAGGGAAGAGATACATTCTTTGATATAGCTTTTCATATGTCTAAGAAAAACAAGTTTTGTAACTCGAAATTCGGACGGACAAAACATTTTGAATAAGATTTAGCTTGTATTCGCCATGACATGTGCTAGATTAATAGGATAACATATGTACCTTCGTCTTGTGAGAGTTGCCCCAATCAACAGCGAACTTGATGGATCTGCACTTGTCATCAACCTTAATAGGCCAGTAATGTTGCATTGGTACCAAACTCCGAGTGAAGAAATCATAAAAATGGGACTTTACAAGTAAGGTAACAGAATCACAGGCAAGAATGTATTTCTCACTAACAGACCAAGCAACTCCTTCTATGTAGATCTTATACCTGCATGAATTTTGAGAGGATCGATGGAGATTTTTCAACTTTGAACGAAATAAATTACAAAAAAAAGATGGAATGAAAATTGAAAAGCACTAAAACATATGTAGTCAGAGTTTTGCTAAGCAAATGCAGAGCAAAATTGATATATTTTTTTAAACCTATGAAAGCATTGTCTTGCCAAATTTGATTGCTTGTACCCTTCCCGTGATTCTTTATTCCAATCCTGCGATGATCACAATCAGCAAGAGAGACATTCAGTGGTGACTATCCTCTTATTGACGTGCGCTCTGTGCGCGTGACTCATTTAAAACAATATTTAAATAAAATGTTAAAAAAATAAAAAGAAGGAAAAAAAAGACAAAAGGGAAAAAAGATCTAAAGCAAAAGGCATGAAAAAAAAGTTGAAAAAGTTTTATTTTTAAAGAAAAAGTTTGCTTGATGAGGAGAGAGGAAACACTTTGCGAAGCATTTAGCACACGCCTCTCATGTGCGAAAAGTTTCGCAAATCTAAGGAAGAAACTTATTCTCACTTAGATATGTAGTAATGATAAAGATTAATCATCTCTAGACATGAGACATTGTATATTGATATTGGCACAAATATTTATTTAAGGCCAAGATGTGTTTGATTGAGAAGAAGAAACAAATAGATAAAAATGAAACCTGAACATAGAGACGAGCATTCCAATCATGTTTCTTAGAAACCTTGCATTTGAGAAGGTCTTGCCTGCTGGGAGAAACATTTGGGTTTCCCTTCCAGTAGGCATGAGGTTGTCTATCCACCCATTTGCTTTTCTTGTTTCCTTCTTCCAACTCCTTCAACAATGGCTCCCATGGCTTTATGTTTACCTCTGGCCTATACACATTCCACCATACATGTCATTTCTACTGTTTGTCAAAATAACTAATAAACAAAAATTTTTTCCTTGAAAAAGATTCTTTTTGCATTTCTTTTAAACTCAAAGGATAAGGTTTTGTGTGGAAAATAAGCAGAAAGATATTAAATATTACTCATCATGATGAATTTATCATTACTGATCATGCTCTTAATTGATGACAAAACTTTAAAAATCGTAGACTTAATAAGTATTGAATGTGATTTTCTTAAACGTCAGTATTAAAGAGGAAAAAAAAGTAAGATATCGTCAGTTCAGCATTTATTTATTTTCCATTTTAGCATTATTAAAAGTTGGATGTCAGTGCAATGAGTATATCATGAGCCTATTTTTTGGTTTACCGGTGAATTGAAGATTGAAATACTACGCCTCAATATTAGAACTAGATATGAACAATACCAGAAGTCTTCAACCACATCAATTCAACACTTTTAAAAAGTATATATTAGTGAACATCATTCAAAAGTGCATCCCTTTGTTGAACATTATGCAGCCTGTTATTGGTGGATGAAAATGGAGAAAAAAATAATTTTGAGAGGGGAAGGCAAAAAAAAAAAAAAAAAAAGGCATGAGTTCAGACTTTAGATGTCTACTTACCAGCCCCAAAACGACCAATCAGGGAAGACAATATCAAGTGTGTAATCATCCGCACAGTAATGGAACAATGGTGGCGGTGATGTGGCATTGGCCCCACTGTATGACTTTGACAAAATAAGTGGTAGGTCACCACAATTAAACATCAGATCCAGATCAGGCACTCTTCCTGGGTACCTCCGTAACAACTGTAGGATCCCCCATAATGTAAAAATATCTCTCGTCTGGAAGGACCTTCGATAGGTCTCCACGTAAGCTTTGCCATTCACTATAACAAGCCTAAAATCGGCCGTAGGTTTGGCCCTCTCCACCATATCCCTTGATATTCCTGTGTGGGCCCATGGTCTCAGGTCTTCGTAGATCCATCGGAAGTAGTCTGGACACGTGGGAGGCGATGGACGGTCGAGATCATCTTGTTTGTTGTGGGCAGTGGTATAATTTGAGGGGCAGGTTCGTGTAGGGTCGTATGCAGTGCAGTTCAGTGGGATCTCAATCTTCTGAGGGGGTCTTTCGAAGATTTTAGTGATAGTTGGGCCAGCTAGATTCTGACAGATTAGCGAAGTACGTAAGTGGAAGAAAAGTCAACAGTTTATGCTGCTACTACATGTTATAGTGAATTAAAATATAATAGAGACGGATTAGCGAATCCTCACTAACTGGGACAATAGATACTTGGAAGTATAAAATGTTGTTAGTGCTATAAACGTGGTTTGCTTAATTTGGTTTCTTTAATTTAATAACGGAAAGAACACAATAATTTCTGGCAATTATTTGTACTGTTAAATAGATGGAAAACTCTAGAAGGCATTACAATTATCTATTTATATGTTAAAAATACAATAAGTTTACTTCCAGTAGATAAAAAATACTCGACATAAAATGAAAATAGCGAATTCGTGTCTAAATTAAACATGGGAGTTGCTTTCTTTCTTTCCCGAGGTTGACATAACGGCATATTGTAGACAAGGAAAAAGTCAAAAACTCTATAGTAGAGATGATACATTATTGGTCTAGAATCTAGATTATATTGCAGAGTCAATAAGAGATAATTGTTATTAAAAGAATATAAAAAAAAATTACAAAAGAAAAAGGCCAACGATGAGGAAAGACGTTAACGATAACACGTGGCGACTAATGACTATTATATTCCTCGGATATTTTCTCACGCCGTTGTTAATTTTTGACTTTTTTTTTGTTTGACTCTATCAAACAAGCAAGTCGCAGGCCAAGAAATTGCGCAATAAAAAGGGTGAAAAAAAAACTTACAGCAGAGTTGAGAAAGCGCGTGGAGACAATCGCGCCGACGAAGAGCAGGAACAAGACGGTGAAGACGACGGGAGACGACGCCGAGGACTTGAGAAATGGCCGCCAGATCGTGTCTTGACGACGGGAGACGACGCCGAGGACTTGAGAAATGGCCACCAGACCGTGTCTTTGAAATGACTCAACTGCCCCCACGCGGTCGTCAAATGGTTCTGAAACCTCTGCATGGTTTCCCTCATTCTTTCCATCTTCTTCTAATGCCCTTTTCTGAGTTATAATCTTGCTGATATGTACCTCAGTTGTCAGAGACCAAACTGATCATCATCAAGAGATACATGAACTGAGTTATTCTTGAAACAATCTTGAGTTTTCACGGATTGGAATATTCAGATGCCAAAATTGGTACTCTTCTTTTGAGCTTGGATTGTGAGCTAGTTTGGTATTGAGCTAACTAGAAGGTGTAATAGATGATTATGCATAAGAAGGTGTAGACAAGAAAATTAGTTAGATTCTGTTGTTAGAATATTTGGGTTAGCTGGGGAAAAAAAGGACCTTTTTGAAAGAATATGGCACTTTTAGCTGTCAAAAAATCAAGTTTGGTTATGGACTAGGGAGAATCAGATAGAAGATATATGTAAATGATCATCAAAATAGAGGGGAAATGGTTTTTACCATGCGAGCATGAACGCAGAAAGAGAACTTTACAGAAAGGGGAAACCTCGTAACATGGGGTTTTTGTCCCATTTCTCTTTTACTTCTTATGTAACATTCATAATTATATACTCGTGTAGCACTTGTCTCTCTCTCCTTGGTGATCGTTGACCCCTCACCCTATTTTTCAATAAGAAGATTGAAGATCGGAAGCGCCTTAGTTCATGAATATGTTTGTATATAGAGTTTCTATTTCTTGGTATGAGGCTGCGACCTTTTTCTTTAATAACAATTAAAAAAAAAAGTCCTTAGCTGATTCTCCGGAAAATAATAATAATAATAATTATTTTTTTGCCCTTTTCTACAGGAACTCAGTAACCCTGAAAACGTCTTTAGCAAATATTTATTGAGCTGATACATAAAAATAAAAATGAAACTAGTCCAGTCTTGATTGAGAAATAAATATTTAATATTGAGTTTAAGATTTGTGGCTGCTACACAAATATTTATTTAAGGCTAAGGTATGTTTGAATGAGAAAAAGAAAAGAAAAGATAAAGAACAAACCTGGCCATAGGAACGAGCGTTCCAGTCTTGTTTCTCTGAAACATTGTCGTTTTAACATGCTAGCTGTTGTTTTTATAGTACTTTTTTTCCTGCAATTCGTTCTCCATTTGAGATGTGGTCGTTTTCTTATGTTGTCACCGTTTATTTGAGATATATCGTTTTAAATTTTACTATTTTCAATTGTTGTAACGACAGGAGAAATTTGAGGTTTAATTCAGACAGTCCGGTATTTTGACCATAATTTTTTTTGAAATGAAAAGTAGTAGAATTTTCAACTTAATCAAGAAAATGTTATGTAGAAACTTTATGTATGGGGTAAAATCTCTCGAAAAGTGTAAAGTTATAATACGAATATTTTTATAAAGAAAATTCGTAAATATCAGTTATGAATAGTGAAATATCAATTAAAAGTTAAAAATTTTAGCGAATATATTTTAGTTATGAAAAACTGAAATATTTGGTTTGTAACCAAATGACCAATTAGAAAAAGAGTAGAAATATTAGAAGTAAGAAAAATAACAAAAGTTCATGAAATAGAATTTTTCCGAATCAGTTAAAGCAGGAAACTGTAAAAAAAAAAAAAGTACCGCAAGGGTACACGTTTTGGGCAATTCTGAATCAATTGAAATGATAGTTTCAGAAAAAGAGCTTGACTAATGAGATACCCAAGAGAATTGGGTTGAACATGAGAAGTTTAACCCAGGGTGCTCGATAGTCCAGAAAGGCAGTATAGAACTTGTATTGGCTGTGGAATTATCAATACCAGAAAGAGACTCTTTTCGAGAAACGAAAAGTTTAGTCTCGACAAGAAAAATGTGGAGAATGTAGAACCACTCAAGTTAAGTGTTACACTTAAGTAGAATTAGTAAAATTAAATTAAGGGAATTAAAGTAATTTCCTTAATTTAGAAAGTAATGTGAGATATTATTAGAAATATTATTAAAATATTTATTTATGTTTTAAAACATGAAGGAAGGGAATTCGAAGCATTATTCTTCTATTTTTCAAAGTGAGGCCGACCAAGAGAAAAAAAGGAGAGAAAAGAGAGAAAACCAAGGGAAATCTAAGGAATCAATCGATTTCATCAGAATTTCTTCCGTTTAGTCCGGTAGAAACACAACTTGAGGCATTCTAGCGGAGAATCTCAACTTCTCAAGGTAAGAATTCTGATTTTTCATGAGAAATTTCATGTTTTCGTTTTTGAATGAATAGTAACTCATGTCAAAAAAAATCCGTAAAACTGAAAAACAAAACTCAGGTTTTGTCGGGGAATGTGATAGGAGTTCAACGTGTGATTTTTGAAACGATTGAACAAAATTTTTTGCATTTACACTAGAAATCCGAAAACCCTAGGAAAAGAAGAACATGTGTTTTTGTTCGATTTTATGTAGGAATCTGTGTTCAAGAATGTGAATCTTGACTCCAGGTACCGAAATCAGAATTAAAATGAGTTATTAAAAACTTGGGAAACGAGAAAAATAAGGCGAAACTCTACCGAAATTTAGTTTGAGTAATTTGAACTAAAACTGAATTTTAAGAGGAATATGAGATTAAAGTGTGAAAAGAAAGATGTTTCGATAATCAGTGATGCTTTGAAAACCAAACACAATGAGAATTCACAATTTTGGACCGAAACTGAGAATTAGGCCCATGGCTAAGTAACTTCCATGGTTTTAGTGCAAATCCTTGAGATAGGAAATGGTTTGAGGTTGAATACCAAACATAAGGATTGTAGACCTTTCCGAAGTAAATTTCAATGTAATTATTGACCTTAGATTTTGAATCTAATGATAAAAAATTTATGCAATAGGATCTATTAACGGTTGAAGTCAGAAAGCGTCAAGGGAGACAAAGGACGCGTTGTGTCACGCCCCCAAACCGGGGTTAGTGACGTGGAGGCTTGTTTAGAAACTTAAACATGTTTAAAAGAATGATTAGCATATAATGTTGCAAACATTATAATATTTTTTTTTCAAATTCAAAACATCCAGGTATTTCCAAACAAGCCCCTGCATTCAAGAGAAATTTAATTTCAAGAACGGTGGTGGAATTTCCAACCAAACCAGTTTAAAACCACGTCCCTGGTATCATGTCAGGAATTCCCACATGTGTTTAGCATACATGAATATAAACAAGAGTAAATGTGACATCAACCACAGTCTAGTAATATTTAAGTTTACAATCCATAATCTTTTATACATGCCTTGAGATAAGGGATTAGAGGAAATACAACTCTTATCTTAGGAAGTATTTCTCATTCCTAAAACGAATTAAGTTCAATCATGTTTAATTGTTTCCTATTAGTGTGCCTTGACTCAAATCCAAGTTTCACAATAATTTTATAATTCAGTTTGGGGGTTCTTTAAAAATTAGAATCCAATTCATAGGTTTGGTTTTCCTATTTAATTTCAGTTTAAAAACAAGTTTCTAAAGAAATTTCGGCAGCATGCTGGCATAAATAGGAAAAATGCCAAACCTGCAATTCAAGTTCAATTTCAATATATATTCTCCAGAATCCATCAAAATCAGTTTCTAATCAATTAAACAAGTCCAATAACTAAAAACCCCCAAATTTCATTCGATTCCAATAATAACTGTTCAAACTCGAACCCTAACTCAAAATTATTCAAATCTAACTAAAATCAAACTTTCTCAAGCTTAAAATTCGAATCAAAGAGTGGGTTTCAAAGGGTTTTACCTCAAATCAGTTGCTCGATCTTTGTCTCCCTCAATTGATCTGTTTTTTGTTTTTTTTTGGTGATTCTCGGCCAAACTGCCGAGAGAGAGAGGGAGAGAGAAACCCGGAGAGAGAGAGAATGCCAGCGGGAGGAAGTCCGGAGAAGGAGGTGGCTGGCGGTGGAAGAAAATAGAGAGAGAAAGGGGGGTTGCGCTGGTGCACAGGAAGAACCAGAGAAAAAGAAGAATAAGAAAAAAAAGAAAAAAAAAGAAAAAAAAAAGAGTGGGCTGGCGCACGGGAAGGGAAATGGGGAGAAGAAAAAAAAAGAAAAGAAAAAAGAAAAAGAAAAAGAAAAGGAAAGGAAAAAGAAAAAGGGAAAAAGGGAAAAT